CAGTTCGTGAAGACCGGGTTTACCCAACTATGGCATCTTTAGGAGGAGTGGCTTCAACTCCCCAAATTCCCGCAGCCATGGCTGGCTGGGGAATTCTGGGAGTTGAAGTCCACTCATCTTAAAGTGGCCAAGTTTGGACAACACTGCTGTAGACGTACAAGGTCACACTCGAGATGGGAAGTCAAAAAACGCAGAACTGCCTCAGATAAACCAGGGCCACCCAGCCTATGCAGATCCAGAAGGATGCGTCCTTTTCTGGCCAAGGGCCTTTGAACAGAAACTAGGGCTGCGCTCAAATCAGAAAGGCCGGTACAAAGAAGCCAACCAAGGCAGGAGAAAACCTAACTTTGATTTAACCCGCATTTAAATTTCACTGAACAAAATTACACTGCTGACACGTAGTTAAGCCTCATTACTTGGCACGCCAACCACCTGGTCTGCTTACGCTCCCAAAGGTCTTGGATGCAGCTCCCTGAACCTCTCAAAGGTTGCCGGCAGATTTTGTAATTCTTAATGTGACATGAATAGACATTTTCTGCATGTATTTAATAATGTCCTCCAGGCATCTGGGAGCTGTGGCAGTCTAGTTTATGTAGCCCGAGCCTGACATTTAGTTCCCAGAATGCTGCTTCCTTCTGCAAGAAAGTAAGTCCGGCGGCAGCTTCTTTGTAAACAGAAATATTTCCAGATTAACATAAATCAATCATTTTGATGCCTTTCCCAGATCGGTGGAAAGCGATCAATGACATGATCATGTCTGCAAACCATACCTAGCTGCCCTGAACTTGGACAGATGTTAGATGTTTTCCTTTCACCAAAACATCACCTTCCCTTACGGGGACAATGCCGTTTCTTAATCTCATTTCGTTTGCAAACGATCCTGCGTCACGTAAGGCCTTTCTAAATGCAAGCACATCAGCCAAGCCTAACGTGGTCCAGCGACAAGACCGTTTCACCTCCAGCCACGCCGGCATTTATTTACACCATCCCAGGCACCAGTCCAGCTCTGGCTGGCTAAATCCAAAACAGACAGATAAGATTTAGGTTTTGAGACAGCATTTAATTACACACGAAGCAAAGGCAGAGCTGATGGGGAGCGGGGGGGGGGGGCAGACAGCAAAACCTAGTATGAAAATAACTCTGGGCCTTTGCTGGGGGGGGGTTCTTATCTTTTTTTTTAAAGCTGGGGTATTTACAGAAAATGGAGGGAGGACATATAAAGCACAGCATAAAGGAAGTGTATGAACAAGGAAGACAAAGGAACGGTTTTATCTGTCCCCGCTACGGCAAACCGTCCCTTTCTGTCTCGCATGCGAGACCGATCCAGAGACGGAAGGAGGAAGTGGTACACGGCCAAACTACAGCATCCTCAGACTGACAACCTCAGGCAATTCCTGGATAATTCCTCAACCCAAGAGTTTTCAAAAGACCATGGGGCTCACTGTGCAGCTGTTTGGGGCTGCTCCTTTTCCCCGGCCCTGCTCTTCCTCCAAGAGGAGAAGATGCTATCAGACACAAGAGCAGGGCACCTCAGGCCTGGTTCCCTGGCGCCAGGGGTGCTGACGGGGAGCCCTGCGTTTTAAGAGCAGCTGAGTCCCTTGCAATCAAAGTAGAGGGCACCGATCCCCACAGTGCCACTTTGGAGAGGGTGCCGAAGTCTCAGTCCCTGACGCGGGAGGCAGCGTGGATTCCCGTTTCATGGGGATGCTGGATAAATTTAATTCCTTTCCTGCATTGTCCTTGTATTCCCGTCAGGTTCGCATCTCCTCTAGCGTTAAAAACAAAGGTTTAAAAAGCCCGCGGAGGCAGCGATGCTGCAGAGTTCTCCAGAAGAGACGTTTCGGAGGCCTCGTCCGTTTTCTTCTCCTCGATTCCCCTTTCCCCGGAACACCCCGCTAGTTTTTCCTCGGATTCCCACCGGCCCGCGCAGCTGCCTCGCCTCTCTCCAGCAGGCTTTCTCTCCGCAGAGTCCATAAGTTAAAGAGAACATTAAAAACCCTCAAAAGAGCATCCGAAGGTCTTTGGGAGGGACCACGGTTCCCTCGCCGGTCAAGATGGCTCACACGTAGACCGCCGTTTTGGAGATGATGGATCCGTCGTGCTGGGACTCCATGTCATCGTACTCGTAGCCGCGCGGGTCAGGGCTGAGCCGCAGCATCGGGCCCAGCTGGTCGAAGCGTTCCTCCTCGTCCTCCTGGTGCCGTGGGGCGTAGCCATAGGGAGGGTGCCGCCGTTCTTCGTGCTCCTCCTCCCGGTACTCCTCCTCCTCCTGCTTTCGCCCTTGGGGGGGCTTGAGCGGCTGGTTGAGTTCAGCGAATTCGCTGGTCGGAGGCTGAGCGGTCCCGTTGCCAAAGACTCGGGTCTTGGGGTCAAAGGAGCCTTTGGAAGCTCGGGAGTGCCGGCGGTGCAGGATGAAGACGACTATGGCCCCCAGAACTGCCACGGCCAGGATCCCCCCCACGATACCCCCGGCCAGGGCTCCAACGTTGCGGCTCTGACTCTTCACCGGCTGGTCTGAGTAAAAAAAGGAAGACGAGGAAGTCACTCCAAGCAATGCGAGTTGTTAGTCATACCAGCACTGGGGAAGGGGCAGAGCCTCAAGTGGATCCATGAAAGAGGAGACCGGGGGGTCCTCGGGACCCTGCCATTCCATCACCATCGCTATCACCATCCCTTGCAAGGGGCCAAGGGGCCCCTGAACGTCCAAAGAGACACTAGGGTGTCAGAGGGTCCAGAAAGCAGAGTTTGTCCCAAACACAATGCGCCCCAGCTATCCTCCCCTCTCCCCAGCCACTCTGCCCACCCACAATGCATCTGGCTCCTGGCCTATCCAAGCCCAGTGCTTTTTCACCATGCCTTGTGCTAGTTAAACCTCACAACGTTTCTCGCCGCCCTCTTGTGCAAAGCACAGCTGAAAGAAGAGGAAGAACTCAAACCTTCGGTCCCCAAGAGTAGGTTAAGAAAGGGCACCAGTTATTCCACTGCACACCGTACGATACTTCGGTTCATCTCTCCCACAACCAGAACAGACGCACACCAAGCTGGATCCTGCTTTACACGCCTGCCCCCCAAAGCAGCTAAGAGCCACCAAGATCTCAGAGCATCCTCTCCCAGCACTCCATGAGCCCCCACACATTGAAAACGTTGCAAGCCCACAGCTCTTACCCCGGACAAGGACGACTTGCTGTGTCGTAACTTGACCCACGCGATTAGTGGCTTGGCAGATAAAGGTGGTGTTCACAGAGTAATCCACGTTCTTCACTATTAGTCGCTGACCCTGGACTTCCACTGACTTCGGGAGTGACCCGCTGGACCTGCGCAATCGAGCAAGACAAGTTAAGCCATAAAGAAAATCTAGGAGTCCGGGGGGGGGAGGGGGGAAGGATGGATGGATGGATGGATGGACGGACACTGCCTTCTTATTCAAAGTGAACTCTCCAGGAGGTTTCTATTTTTTCCAACACAAAAAAATACAAAATATAGAAATAAAGATATAAACAACTGGCACTGTGGGAATCAGTTTGGAGGTGCCCCGGATAGTCCCAAAATATGGTGTGCAGAACAGAAAAAAGGGAGGAAAAGAGAGGGGAAGTCTCATAGATAAAAAGGCCTACTACCACACAGTTTATCAATTACGAATTAAACCTTCAGTTTAACAGAATGAAGGAGGTGTCAGTTAAAGAATGAACAGATTTATTTCAAGCCCCCCAACACAACGGGGTACAAAAAAATCCTTACTTTATTGATAATCCTGAATATCCACTTTGAGGAAAGGAGTGCTTGAACTGATTCCCCCACCAACGGACTTTGTGTGTGCTTTAAAGTTTGTTATTGCTCAAAAATCAGACAAAAACCAGGTTCAACAGGGTCTATCTGTAAAATGTGAAGTCCACTAAAACGAGGTCCGTTTAAATCAAGGGTTTTTTGTTGAACACAGAATGCCTTTCCCCCTAGATTTCTGTTAGGATCTTCCTGTGGATCCTAGGCCCTGAATAGCTTGTGAGTAAAAGTTCTTCTCATGCTCCTGGAGATCTTTATGGGACTACTCCATGCCAACTTTCTACTGACACAATGCATAAAAGGATGCCTCCTTTCAGTATAGGGCCTGGATTCTGCAAGCACCCCACAATGTTTCCCTACATTGACTCTGGGTCCCAATGTCTATGCAGAAATGGGAAGCCCTGAGTGAAAATCAAGTGAGAAAAAGGAAGGTGGTTTTGGTGAGGCTGCAGAACTGCTGTGGCCTCGTTCTGTATTCATTCTAGGAGTTTTCCTTGGGTTTGAGGAAAAACACCTTGTCTGAGAAAATGGAACTGAGGCATGTGGAGATCACCATCCTTTCCAGCAGGAAAGGTGGACCTATCAAAAGCCGAACAAGCCACCCACATCAGCACAGCTTCTTCCATGCTGGAACCTGCTCTGTTTGGTTCTGCTGATGTATAACCAGGGCTGGGCCACACAACTCATGCACAAGCTGTCCACCCCCTTAGGGATAGCTGTGGCCCAACCTTCCCCAGCCTGTGATGTCCTTCCAGATGTGCAGACTTCAACTCCCAGAATTCCCCAGCCAGCATGGCCACTGCTAAGAGTTCTGGGAATCTGGAGCTGCCCAGATTGAGGGAAAATCAACAAGCAAAAGATTTTGCAGTGCAGGGCGGGAGAGCGAAAAGAAAGCCACAGTACGGATTCTTGCTTTTAGAATTGGGAAGATTTAAGGCTCCTCAGAGTAGGTTGACCTGAGCAGCCGATAAACCTTGCACGTAATTAATAAAACACATTTAAGGATAAATTTAAGGACTCAAGTGACCTCACAGCTGCAGATGTGGTTAAGACCTAACCAGCCAGCAGTGTGTGAGTCCTCTGTCCGTTTAACTGGGTTGTGTTGGGGTGGAGATAATGAAGGAAAATAGCAAGATTAGGACTCACGTGGTCCAAGAGAAGTCTATTGGGGTGGGATTCCCCTTCGCGGTACAGATGAGTGTGGCCTCATTGCGGGTCAGATACCAGTTGTCATCATAGCCCTCTATGGCAACCTCAGGAGCATCTACAGGGAGAACAGTCAGAAGAGCTCACACTTGGCTGAAGGCATGTGCATGCACAGATACACCCACCCACACAACTCTCCTTTTCTACGTGCCTCAATCTTCTTGAACATGAGCTATGGCAAACAGTCCAGCTGCTGCCAAATGTCTGGCTTTTCTTCACACTACATGTCCTTAACCCCAGTTCTCCAAGCTGGGAATAGAAATCTCCTTTTCCCCCTGGCCCTCTTCTCCATCTTCTCTCCCCTCCGCCATGGCACTGCTTAACAGAAGGGCAACAAAAGACCCCTCCTCTCCCCTTTCTCATCCACCATGATCCAACCTTGAACCATCAGACACCACTTCCCTTTGCCCAAGCTAGCAACGTTATGCTGGAGAATTGGCGTCCTTTACCTCTTGCAATGCGAGGCTCTCCTTTAACCGAGTATTAAGTCATGCTCAGGGTGTGAACAAACATAAATCCAGCATTAGGACTTTCTTTTATTCATTACTTTAAGGCTGGTTTTCAAAGGATAATTTGCATCTTCTTCAACCGTTCTTTGCTACTTAAGGAAAGACTGGGCTTTTTTTAGGATCGTCTTACTGTTTGCCTAAACAACTCAGTCAATTAGTCCCGCCTAATTTCATGCCCTCCAAAAGTGTTGCACATCAAGTCCCATCATTCCCAACCATCAGAATTCCCTGCTCACATTCTTTACCTCGTTAATGTACTGGGAAAATCCTGCAAGGTGTATTAGAAATGAGAGAGACAGTCACCCCAGGACAGGGGTGTGGACTGCTGGTGGCCACTGCAATGATTACTGAACTACATCTCCCACAATTCCAGCCAGCCTGAGCAATGGCAAGAGATGTTGGGAGCTGTAGTTTAGCCACCTCTGGTGGACCACTGTGATGTAGTGGAGAAGATGCTAGACTAGGAATGGGGAAACCCAGTTTAGCCATGGAAGCTTCCCGGATGACTGAGGCAGTCCCTCCCTCTCTGCCCAGCCTGTCATATAGGGTTGCTGTTATGGGGAAAATCTACATAAATACAGGGTTTAAATATATCTAAATCTAGATATACATAGCCAGGAAGGCTAAATTCCTTGAAAGGCAGTGTGGTGTTGTCAGCCTTCCCAGGTAGACCAGACAGGAAACACGACCAGATGGACTAATTCTACTTTGCTGCAATGCTACATTGACTGAATCTTGCAAGTCTGAAAGTACAATTCTCCCCCCATCTCCTTTACAGCCCGAGAAACTAGGGAGGGTCCCTTCTGGCCCTCTTTCTCCTCCCATTATGCAGCTGTGGGCTATGCCCCCTCTTATCTGACCGTTCCCTGGGCAGCATCTCTTCGCCCCATTTCCCAAGGTCTTTCCCACATACCATTACAGATGTAGTGGTGAAGAAGTGGGGAGACCCAGGTTCTAGTCCCCCCTTAGACACCAAGGCCAGCTGGGTGACTTTGAGCCAGTCCCTCTCTCTCGGCACTTGGAAGTCAAAACACACGATGGCTTATGGGTTGTAACTTCAGGTGACAAGAGAGCCAGGGTGGTGCCGTGGTTCACGTGCTGAGCCAGAAGTGGGAAAACACAGGTTCTAGTCCCCTCTCAGCCATGGAAGCTGCCTGGGGGACTTTGGGCCACTCCCTCTCTCTCAGCCCAGCCTACCACCCCAGATTGTCATTGAGGGGCAAAAACGCAAGGCAGGAGTATTACATACGCCCACTTGAGCTCCTGAAGATCTAATCAAGAAATAAGCTCCGGGGCCAAGCCATCCTGGTCCCTAAAGCCACGGCGCTCCACTCACATAATATGGAAAGCCGGACAGGGAAGGACTCGGGTTGGGGCAGGGTCACGTGTTCAACAACGCAGGTGATTTGTTGCTCGTTGGCCTCCTTGGTGGGTGTCATGTTGTAGCGGCTGGTGACGGTGATGGTGCCATTGGGGTTGTTTGTCTGCGTCGTGCTCCAGTTGCCGCTCAGCCTCGACTGCCAGGTGATGCGAGCCGGCGGCTTCCCGTTCGCGGAAGTGCACACGGCCACGGGCTGCTCGGTGTTGCTGGCTTTCACCTCCTCGGCCTTAACGCTGCTCGTGGGCTTGGCTGGAAGAGAAACAGATGTGCAGATGAAAAGGCTGCGTTTGCAGAACACACTTAACCCTAACACCAGGCTGACACCACACTAGAGCAGTATTTCTCAACCTCGGCAACTTTAAGGTTTGTGGACTTCAACTCCACTGAATTCTGGGAGTTGAAGTCCATGCATGCTGGCTGGAGAATTCTGGGAGTTGGAGTCCATGCATGTTGGCTGGAGAATTCTGGGAGTTGGAGTCCATGCATGCTGGCTGGAGAATTCTGGGAGTTGAAGTCCACGTATGCTGGCTAGGGAATTCTGGGAGCTGAGGTCCACATCTCTTAAAGTTGCCAAGGTTGAGAAGCATTGCACTACAGCCTCCACCTCCTATCTCTGCCCAAGCAAACAGATCCGACAGAGCCTTAATGGGACAGTCAGATTCCCATAACACCAGCCAGCCATCCACCCACTTCTCAGCATAGCCTAACATTTCACGTGAACCCAGCTAAAGGCTTGGCAGCGGTTGATTTCAAATGCAAGGATTCTCTGTCTGCTGGGATTCTCCTGAGACTGGACAGGTTCCCAAAGTGCCCCCAGATGAAGCCCTATCATAAAGATCTAGCATTTCAGGAAAGAGACTAGGTTGGATCCTTTGTTGACACTTGCAAGGGGTTCCTCTCCCACACAGGGAAGTAGATGGCTGGGGAGGAGCCCTATCTGGCCTTCTTCTCAAGCTCCAAAGAGGACTATTTAAATTATGGACTTAATGCCCCCTGGGGAGTTATGGGTTATTGTTGGAGCCTAATTTTTTTCCTTGCATCACCAAACCTCTCTGAAGAGCCCTGCCCCACTTCTAACATGAGGGAGCGTGGGGGAAGGGCCCCTAATGCTAATTCCAAAGCCAGCGTCAGGGGAGCCTTGTTTAAAACTAATTTGCACAGCGTAAACATGACATTTTGGGGAAAAAAGGGCCTATAACAGACAAGAATCTCTTATACAACTTTCTCATTGTTTGCCAGGCTTCCCCACCCAGGGGTGCAGTCAAAGCCAACCTTTATTATTTTGGAGAAAAAGTTCTGTAATCATACAATGACTGATGTGTTGCCATTCTTGGAACTAAAATGAATGGAATTTCCAGATAAAAGGGAAGGAGGGAGGGAGAGAAATTTGGAAGAGTTTCCCACGGACTCCTCCATAATCATTAAGGGCTAGAAATTCTGGGGACGCAGAATCCAGTTATGGGTAGAACGCACTCAGCGTAGGGCAAAATCCCCGATTACCATAATTTTTGTAATCACAACTTATGCGAAATCATTCTCAGGCGATACCTTACTTTTGCAGGTCCTCAGCAAGGGGGGAGATAAGAAGGACACTGGGATTCAACCCTGAACTGCTGGAAATTTTGCAAGCCACTCATTTGGTCTCAGAGTTTTCAGCAGGCATTGCTGAGAAGAAACACACCTAGGTTTCTCTGCAACCCTACATTACAATGGTGTTTTTAAAATAAGGAAACCAATAATCGCTACAAGCGGAGTACTTCACCTGGTCCCCTATTCTGTGCTCCTGCAAAATCGAAACAAATACAGAACCCTTGCTTTTTAAATCAGCTGCTTCCTTATGGGGTGGGCAGACGCTGAGCAAAAGGCCTGCCAAAAAACTCCGCATCTAACAAGACCCTAACTCCTTTTTTTTCCTGTGGTCCATCGGTGATCCAATTTTTAAGACCTGGGAATTTGAAACAGTACCCTTACCCAATATCTTTTCATTGGACCATTGGAGAACTAAGTCCGAAGTACTGTCAGGAAGTCCAAGTCTATGGGGTTGATATTTTGCTCCGCAAAAGAACCTATTACTACTGTCACCATGCTATGATGAGTGGCCCGTAATTAATTGAAAGAATGGGAACACGCTGCTATCTAGCAGGACTAGAACGCATGACCAAGCAAATCTGCTTAGCAGAGAACAGCCCCTGGGAAGTCATTCCAAACAGTCAGGAACACTTCATTACCAGACGTCACACGTGTTTGGCTTTGCGTGTTGGGGGTGATGGGGGCTGGAGGCCAACACATCAGAAGACCCAGGCAAGGCTGGGATAGCTTAGCAACTTTAGGGCAGCTGATTAGCATCTTCAGAGGGGTGGGTGTTACTTTGGCTGTGCTTCTACAATTCATTTGCAAACAGCAATTAATTTATTTAACACATTCTTTTTCCTGTTGCCTTTAGAAAGTTAAAAACTCCCAGGATGACTGTTATTGGGAGCATGAGGCTAAAACAGATAGTACAGAATTCTTTCAGCCTGACCTTTTTTAGGACCCAAAAGTCAGGTTCTGACGGCCCTTCAAGGTAGACCAGGTCAGGAAACAGACACCACAAGGAATACTAGAATTCTATCTTCTTGCTCTAGGCTGTAATAGTGGGATCTTGAAAGCCTGATAGCGTTTCTCCTTCCTTCCTTCTTATACTAAAGAGAATCAAGGCTGGGCAATCTTGAGCTTCTTTCTCATGCTCTCCTGTTGTCCTGGGCTAAGCTCATGTTTCACTAATGGTTGCTACATACCTTCTCCAAGGCTGTCTCTGGGTTCCCCTACAGGTTCACACATTGCCATAACACAGTTTGCTTGGCTTTGCCCTCCCATGTGGTGCGGACTGGGTCAATGCAATTCTACAATCTGCAGCTTGTGTGGAGCTGCGCCTTACGAGTTCTTCCACAAACCGCAGTTCAGCAAATCGTAACTTAGTCTGGTGTGTGAACCCAGCAAATTGTGAGCTGGAGGCCTTTCACCCTTGGGCTGAAGGCAAGTGCTTGTTCTTACCCAGGACGACCAGGTTGGTGGTGCCTACTTCATTGCCGTTGGGATACGTAGCAAACTCGCACGTGTAGGTGCCCTCATCCGTCATGAGTAGGTGTTCGATGACCAGCGTGGCATCTGCCAAGGACTGTGTGAGGAAACGGATTCGCCTGCTGTTCTTCTCCATTGGGTAGCTCTGCCCATGGAGTGGATGGTAGACGGCCACATTCTGCTTCCTGCCTCCGACCTCCTTCCCCCAGGTCACCTGGCTGATCTTGATCTCAGGTTCGGTTAATGCAATGTTGCACGGCAGGACGACCTTCTTCCCCAGGTACCCCGTGACCTCATTGCGGACCGTCACTTGCTGGGCAAGTACAACTAGAGAAGGAAAACACAAAGAAGCTGAGTGATCGGTCAGATCCTCCACTTTGTCACTTTCTGGCCACCAGGAAGCCCTTTTTAAGGCAACCTAGGAGATGCTTTACAGCAAAATTTTGCTTCATTTTTTACATGAGCCATTATTTGACTGGGCTTGCCAGATCTTGGCATTGATGGGCTTCATACAGCATGCTAAACCCAAAACTGGCTGAAGCAAACAATTGCTAAGTCCACCTAACAAGTCATGCCCAAACAAATAAAACTTACAATGGCTTAAAGTCGTGGTCCAGTTCATACCACCGACTATGACAGCGGCTGCATTCCCACAACACACTGAACCCTGAACATTTTAGCCTAGTATGAACCAAGCCATTGAAAAATTGAAATGGGAAATGGCATCCTATCAATAAGAAAAATATTTAAAAGAAAATAAGGCTGAAGCAAGGTCTAAACTCCATGTAAGCCCTCTGCATTTAGCATTCAAAGCACACCCTATACACTGGAATGGGAGGTGTAAAAGCACCGCTCCAGTGGGTGGTAGCAAAATTCACATTGCTTTTTTTTTTAAATATAATTTTAGTGAATTTTTTAACAAGATAAAAACAATGCAAATATTAGAAAAGAAAATAAGAATAGTGAATAAGAAAATAGAAATAGACAGACAGAAGGAAAGAAAAAAATTACAAAGAAGTGGCTTCCAATCTTTTTGTCAGTGGTTATAAATGCATTCATATTTTACCCTCTCTCTATAAGGTTACATCATCCTTCTTTCCATAAGCTACCCTCGTCAAACGTCAAAAGTCACAGGTTCGTTTTTCTTTTTTTCCAGCAAAAAGTCCATAAGGGGTTTCCAGGCACTGATAAACGTAGTTGTTGATCTTTCTCTAATTAAACAAGTTAATTTTGCCATCTCTGCTAGTTCTGTCATCTTCACCAACCATTCCTCCATTGTGGGTATTTCAGAATCTTTCCATTTTTGCACATATAGTAGTCTCGCGGCAGGAATCATATATAAAAATAACCTTCCATGGCTCTTATCTAATTGATTGTCCATTAAGCCCAGCAAGAAAAGTTCTGGCTTCAGCTGAATGTTGATCTTTAAAATTCTTTGTGTATCATTATATGGATCTGAACCCAAAAACTTCTGGCTTTTTTACAAGTCCACCAGGCATGATAAAATGACCTTTCATGTTGTCCACTTTTCCAATATAAATTTGAAGTACCTTTATACATTCTAGGCAATTTTTCTGGAGTCATATACCAATGGTACATCATTTTATAAAAATTCTCTTTGTTGAGCAGATGGACTAGTCTGTTCAGAGTGAAAGCAGTTGGGCAGCTCTGGCTTTTGAGAGAGATCCCAGGATAAAACAGGTTTCACAACCACCTCCCCATTCATGGATAGTTCTGAACTCTGCCTTCATTACAAACAGTGAGTAAGATTGTTTCTTAAGAGTGAAATCGCCAAGGGAAAGGCAGCTTAGCCAGTTGAGTAGACCTGTCCCTATTCTCAATAAGGAGTGGTGAATACTGGGAGTTGAAGTCCACACATCTTAAAGTTGCCAAGTTTGAGAAACACTTCTCTATACCTTAAAACCATGTTACTTGGACACATATGATTTGGGCTTGTTCTACAATTACTCCACTTAATATTCACCTTGTCGTTAATATCTTTTTGGGAAGAAAAAGGAGCTTTGGAGATGATGTGATGTTGAATAACCCTAATGAATTAGGAAGAACACTGAACATTTTAAGCATAGAGAGCAATTAAAAAATTGTTCCATTTTGTTGGAAAGACAGGTTCTAAAATCTTGGATTGAAGATATGGGAGCAGTCTCTGCCTTTGAAGTGACTCCTTTATTGACATAAAAAAAGGATGGAGCAATACGTGCTGTGTGATCAAGGTTTCGTTTGTCATTGTTTTTCTATATTTACTGCAACATGCACAGACATTTCCTCTTTTCCTCTCTCTTTTTACCTTTGGTTTCTGCTTCTTTATATATTATTTTGTATTCAGTTATAGCTTTTCTTCCTCTTTCTCCTATTGCTATAAATATTGTTTTATGTATAGCAATGAAAATAAGTACAATATTAATTTAAACATACACAGGTAGTCCCCGGGTTAAGAATACCTGGTTTACAGATGACCCATAGTTAAGAACGGAGCCTACTGGAGCAAAATTTGAGTGAAATACACAATGATTCGAGTGAAATACACAATGGTTTGAGTTCATTACACAATCCTACTTAGACAGTATTATACAATAATACTGTTCCGGCTTACATACAAATTTGACTTAAGGACAGACCTTGGGAATGGAACTTGCTCTTAAACTGGACACTACCTGTATAAAAGCAACGTTAAACCAATC